GCTCGCTCAGATACACTGAATCCAGGTAACTGAGCTTCGAAGTAATCGAACAAAATGCACCAGTATGCGGCTCGCCGGTACACGCACGGCGGATTGCCGGTTGGCAACATTGTTTTCCTTCCACTTAAACCTATGAAAATGTATCGATTCTTAGAGAGACAAGGGGCTCCGACAAAAACGATTATTCAGCACAGGTTTAAATGGAGAAACGACAATGTTACCAATTTTCTGGATCCGCTGATGGTCCAGCAACGTGCCGCGAACCGTCCTCACCGGATTGGTCGAAAAGAGCTTTTGCCCGCTGCAAGAATTTGCATTTAGGAGATTGACGGGGTGTTTATTGGAAATGATAGACACAGTATTAGACAATGAAGAGAAAGGGAAAATGGAGCGATCCTATTGGTGGAAGCAGGTGGTTACAATGGGCAAATGAGAAAAGTAATGGACTAACTGACGGCAAACCATGCGAGAGATCCTAGTCCGAAATTTCCTTTCCTTTATTCTATGAAGTTTTCTAGTAAAAAATAAATAATTCATCTTTCGTCCATTCGTCGATCGTTCGTCATTCGTAACATTCAACCATTCATTGAATGGGAGCTATAAAGCGCCAGTGACGTCATCGACGACGACGCAGTCGACGATCCAAGTCTTTAACTCGTGAGCCCTGTCCACAACGTTCTTGGCACACGCCCACGGCTCACGAGTGCCGCATACAGTTGGCGCTTAGTTCCGTTTAGCAGAATGTGAAATCCCGCTTTTCCATTCCCCCCCCCCCAAAAAATCGCGCCCATTTTTACATCGTTTCTCATGCAGCTCATCACGAGCACACCTCATCTTTCCCACACGTCTCGAGTTTCATTTAGTAGAAATACGTCCATTTTACAGTGGTTAAGGCCATGGAGTGATAGCACAGAACGCTCCGAGCAACTATTCTAACTCTCAAGAGCTCAGATTGCATAACAGGTTAATTGAAGGCGTCTAGCTCATCACAGGCACACCGCATAATTTCCACACGTCTCCACCATGAAGTAGGAATACGTCCATTTTTGCTTGAATCAAGTCGTTTTCCCCAGTTTCTAAAAGACGGATGCTACATGTACACTGAAAAAAGAGATTGATAGAATCTACCATTCCTTCACGCCGTTTTTCACACAGCGTTAAAACAGAGTCAATTCTGCCAGACGAAAGGTAAACGTTTCTATATACTGGTACAGGTAACCTCTGGCAATTTCTCTGGCAGAATCGACTCTGCCACAACTTGGTAGGATTTTACCAGCGTGAAGGCACGCTATGTGAAATACAGCGTGAAGGAATGGTCAATTCTACCAATCTTTTTTCAGTGTAGGAACAGTCAAAGGAACGACAATGAATATGACCTTAGGTCCCTTAAATGTTACCAGATTTAACTTGAGTTTTTATTGAAAACAAAAAACGACAAATGCTTCCTAAAAAATAATTTTTGACATTTTTCTGAGAGTTTTTGAAAATGATTTCTTAACGATTGTTATTATTAAAGAATATTCACATGGATTTTTCACTTCACACAAAGCATCTGGCCTCAAATTAGTGAATTTTTTTGTAAGGCTTTTTTCAGTGTACGACATGGAAACAGCGCGCTGGGACGGGGAATCGGGCGTGCCGGGGAGTTCTTAGCTGTTCAAAGGCCCTGAATCACCCATCTTGAAGTCTCTCCACTCGAATTGGAGAGCTCCGGCTCTTGAGCGCATTCGTCGATATATTATTGGCGTAAAAAACTGAGAGGGCTTAAACGCTAACGCCGGCTCCAGCTTGGGCTTGCAACGCAAACACGCCTTTGATCTCGCCGCTAACGGCCTCTCTTTCCGTCCGACCATCCATAAACATTTTAAAGAGCCAAGACGGACAGCTACCAAGAGCTGACCATCCCCCGACAAGATTTCTCGTTTATCTTCCGTTCTCGGCTCACTCCAAATTGGAGATTAATATTGCTATCCTGTTAAAATTGGACGTATTTCTATCAAATGGAACTATGTGCATTAAGACATGGGCCCTGAGACCCATAAGAATATGTGCATAGCAGGGCTCATGTCATAATGCACATAGTTCCGTTTGATTGAAACACGTCCAATTATGAAACATCAAACCGATCCCGCCTTTCAGAGTGCTTTGTACAGTCGTTAATTCACGCTAAAATTATTTTTACATCCGGTTGGATAGACTATACGCTTATAAATCGATTATTTTCCTTTAAACGCGGAGGCGGCGGCAGCAAAAAACTCAATGTTAAGCGTCACGTATTTCATGCGTTCTATATCTTTTCCAAGCTCTACTTCAGCATATTACACTGTTAGAAATATTCGCCTCTGGATTCAACGGATACGCTTTTGGAAATTTTCAAAAAGAAAACCTGTTGGGAGATAATGGGCGTTGAGGGGACGATTGTGCACAATATCATGACCAAGCAATTGGTATGGTATGGGCATGTTCAGAGAATGGCTGATACCAGGTTGCCGAAGAAGGTGTTGGAGTGGGTCCCCCCAGGTACGCGACGGAGAGGGCGTCCAGCCAAGCGGTGGGTAGAGGGCATCCGTGAAGAGATGGAGAGATGCCAGCTTCCGGAGGATCTCTACCATGACAGATTCCTGTGGAGAATAGGCGTCGCAGAGCGCCCAAGCGCGCCGTAAAAGCGGCTCATACGTACATACAAAAACCTCTTGGGAAGTTGAATTGTTTCCCCAGTCTAGTGATCCGTTGGTTATAAGAGCACCTTTAATGGGTCAGTTGCGCTGGTCACAGAATCGTATTCTGATGGAAGGTTCTGGCAATTCAGTTAAAAATAATAAGATCTGTGCCAACAGCAACTTTCTGCGTTTAATATTAATCGAGTTATCACGCTTTGAAAAAGTCGGTGTCTGACGTCATCCACCGCGGCAGTAACACCCGTGGTTTCTTCCACCTTGCTTTCATCTATCGGTGTGACTCACATTTTGCTATTGGTTATCTTGCTATCATCCGAATTTCACGTTGAGTAACCAGTGTAAATGTGCGTCACACCGACTGATGAAAGCAGGGTGGAAGAAACCACGGATGTCACTGCCGCGGTGGATGACGTCAGAAACCGACTTTCTCAAAGGCTGATATCTCGGTTAATATTGAACGTAGAAATTTGCTGTTGGGATAAGTCTTATTATTCTTTGCTAATTTACAAGAACCCAGTATCAAAACACGATTCTATGACCAGCGCAACTAACTCATCGCTACACTTCGTTGCCATACGTCATTGTAGCAATGAATTGAACCAAATAAATTCTGTGACCCTCTAAAATGCCTGCTATTTTGCGTTTAGGCAATCGGCACTACCCTGGAGCACGAATAGTTGCACGATTCTGTGACCAGCGCAACTGATCCGTTGAGGCGCAGGGTGCAGAAAAGGCACTTTTTGGTTGTAGTGTCTCAAAATCTCTACTAACGTTTCATCCGATATGATTAAACAAATGTATGTAATTTGTTGTAATTTACATTGAAAATCTTGCATGATTTCACAGTGTAAAAAACGTAATATTCCAGAAAATTCACCTAATAGTTTCCTCTCTAAAATAAAAACTACCAGGGGAGATTTTGAAACTTCGTAACCAAGAAATGAACTTTCTGCATTCAAAGCCTCCATTTGATAGGGCGTCGTGATTTGATTGAAGCATAATTTTTTCAGCGAGCGGGATTAAACCGATGAACTCGAGAATCCTAACTCCTTTTTCTAAGGAAGACTTAGATAAATCTAAAACAGCCGACGTTTTCTCAGTACGAGTAATTCGTGACGAGGAAGCGCATATTGTGGATGCTTCAGTTTTGATACAGTCCGTTTGCGCCGAACGATATTGCGACAAAATTTACTGCTTTACATTCAAAGGCTACCGTCATAGCAGAATGCAATATGCAGTGAGTTATGGCTCGAGGCGAACAGAGAGCAGATACGAAATAGCTTTCAATTTATTGGGGGAAGCAAATTAAAGCCCTGCAGGTCAAATAACAACATTTGCTTGAGTGCATCCATAACAAAACCCTTGGAATTGCAGCAGTTCCGATCGTGTTTAACATGAGATTGAGAGGATGCGTGATCCTGAAATTTCTTGAAACCACAGCAGTAATAGGGAAGATTATAGGCAAGACACGTTTATGCATGCGCACTTGAGAAGGAGTGCGCTCAAAGGAGTTTTCTACATTAAAAGTTGAGACTTATAATTTGCACGTAAGATGAAATATGTTCCTGGCTCAATGGCTTTCTGAAGTCATGTCTTGAGTTGTGCCTATCTCTTCTATTCTAGTGAGAAGAATTTCAAAACCTTCTAGCGTTTTGTGTAAGCATCATAAGACTGATGTGTTCATGAAATACACCGTATAAACCTTCAGACGTTGACAAATTTCCTCTAATAAAAATTGCGTTTTCCGGTGAATATTTTCCTTCGAATATTTTAGAGCGTTTCATTCGTAATTAGATCTAAATTACCTGACAATTTCAAGAGAAAATATTCATATCATTCTTCAAAACTAAATATTTTATCGGAAAAATTTGAACACTCCCGAGTGTTCGCACGGCACTCTTCTTTAGCACGGCAGAATAGAGGATGGTATAGTTTTTATGGGACATTTCAATCTTAAACCGACATTATTTTTGTTTAAAAAATGGAAGCTTTTCAGCAACATGTCGCTGAAAAATGCTACGTGTCTGTCGAAAATAAGATTCAGAGTCACTGCACGACGTGAAGAAAAATAACACATTGAGAGCGGTCTGGGAAAAGTTACAAGAGAGTAAGGGTTGAGATTTCTTCTGGATCAATGAGTGATGCATTCCACTCCTGTATGCAATTCATTCCAATCCCGAGCCATTGAATAATCGGCGACTGCTGAACGCGACGTACTCTTGCAACCGACTTATGAGCTTTGAGGACGTGAGCTTGCAACACGGTATAAATCAACAGAAAGCACACTGGTAAAGGACTGCGAAAAAAAGGGATAAAACTCACCTAATAAGTACCATTCTCCGTTCGGTATGAAGTCTGACAGGTCTCCACCCTCTTCGGATTTCAGCTGAAGGTCGAGCTAAAAATTTAGAGAAAACACATGATTAGTTATGGGTTCCATAAGTATGCCGTCTTAAAATTACCCCCGTAGGAAGTTTAACTTTTACACCTAACGATAAATCATAAGATCCGTATTGAAAAAACTTCATTAAAAAATATTGATATTCAGATCTTGAATGAACATGAAAGTATAAATATTAAACAAGTACTAGTAAAATATTGAAAAAATATACTAAATAAATGTTAGATCACTGTACTTCTCAGCAGAGATGGCGTTACGATAGCCAAACATTGGGAAGGAGGTTGGCAAAAGTTTTTTGGAACGCATACAGACTTTACTTGCGAGAGAGAGGTAGGGGGCGAAATTTCAAATATATTCTAGGATGATCTTAAATTAATTAAAATTGACTAAAATTGCAACAAAAAACAATAAACATTCAAAAACGGGGGACGGTGGTAAAAGTACCTCCTTATCCCTAGTGCCCCCACTTTCGGTTCATTCTCAGCGTGGACACGATTTTAAGTGATCTGCTGCGCTGCTACGCGGTTTATGACTTGAAGAATCAATAATTATCGCAGAGTGCAAGTTAATGCAGGGGACTAAAATGAGCTTATGGAAGTTTTCGGTGTAAGTTTTTGGTGTAAGTAGGCAATCACATAACTCATTTTACGACGTCACAGACTTCCTGTCATACTTGATTTTTTTTAAACGGAAAAATACTCAACGGAAATTCTTTAAACTTCCGTGAATTTTTTTCTCTGTGCGAAGAAAATTCTGTATAAACTTCAAGGAAGGATGTCAATTTGTTCTCCTTTAAAAAATAGCACAGAGGCAGAGATTTTCAGACACCGTAAACGAGATATGTGATTGCGAGCTAACGCCGCACCGTCGAAATAAGAATATGAACACATTGTTTCTAAACAGGGTCAGAAATTGGAAGTTTTTATACTTAAAGGAACAGACCGTTAGGAAACACATAGGGTGCGTGCTCGTTTGAGCTGCGTGAGAAACAATGTAAAAGTGCAAGAGGACGTGATTCCTTTTGGGAAAATGGAAAAGTGGGATTTTACATGAAGTCAGTAGGAACTAAGCGCCAAAATACTCTAACTCTTGAACGTTGGGCATGTGAAAAGAGCGTTGTGGACAGGGCTCATGAGTTACAGAGCCCTGTCCCCGAACAGAGCAATCCTTTCGTTGCCGCTGACGTCACTGCATGGTGCTTTATAATTCCCATTCACTCTCACGACCCTCAACTAACGAGCACACCCCTTCTTTCCCACCCGACTATGGCTCCCTCTAGAATAAATACGTCCAACTGTAGTTCCTACTTGCAAAATTTGGTGAAATTACTGCTTTTCAAAGACAAAAACCGTGTAGGAGCGAAACGTGGTGGCGGATCTGATCCCTAGATCATTTAGAATCACCTTAGGCCGATGAAAACAAGATCGATGCGCAAATATTGACCTAATACTGCCCAAATCTGTTTTATTTAACCGGGCTTAGTTCACTCTCTGGTGGTTGATATTCAAAGGTCCACTTGGATGGATTTTGAAGAACACTAGCTTGGACCAATCACGATCTTGCCGTCCCGCTGAACCACGAAGGGCGAATTGGCCACGTTCTGGCGTCCCGGGCCGCCGGGCGCCCCCGAAACAGCACGTCTACGACCCCGTCGAGGAAGCAACCCCCCCNCCCCCCCCCCCCCAAGACCTCAAGGCCATCCGCGACCACGTGCGACAATCGCACGGGAGAAATCCCTCGAGAGCCGGCTTATAATCCCCCTAATGTTCTGCCGCGCTAAGGACAAACGCCGTATCAAAGTCCGGACATTGCCAAGTTCTCCTCATGAAAAATAAATTTTCTCCACAATGCAGCACATCGATGGTGCAACCACCAGACCACGTATCTCCATATGTTTGAAAATATTCGCTCCCAATTTTTTTTGTGCCTTGAATATATAAATATCATTCCTCCAGGTTTCCTTCGCACAGAGAAGAAGAATCATGGAAGTTTTTAAAAACTGACGCTGAGTACTATTCCAATTATAGAAGGAAGTATGACAGGAAGTCTGCAATATTGCAGACGGAGATACGTGGTTTCGCAATTCCGCCATCAATATGTAGTTTCTTTTGCAGGGTTGCCACATAATTTAAGAGATGAAATTTCCCGACATTTCCCTGATTTCCCTGACGCATGCTGGTGAAATTTCCTCACAATTGAAGATATGTTAGATGGCTAAAAATACATATACAGAAATCGTTTCCGGGCAAAATTTTTTGTTCGAAACGTCAAACCCATTCTCGATAGCAAATCAAGGTGACTTGACAATTGAGGGGCTTAGGGAACAAGGCGCATAAGTGCAGTTTTTGACCAAAAATATTTTAATGATTTCAAGTAAAACTAGTCTTGGTGCATAATTTGTGATAAAAATTGCTAACAAATTCCAATTTCAAGTATCAAAAAGTCAGTTTGAACTTTCGTTTTGCCATAAGGATCCACGTAATTTCGAAACCTTAGACACATATTTGCGTGTGTTCAGCAAAAACTGAATTTATACGCCTTGGCCTCTTTAAGCTCCTCAATTCGTTTCTAAAATGTTCGTCATTTTCCCTTACATATCCAGGTTTTACTGAATTTTTAGAATTCCCTTCCATTTTCTGACTGTGGCAACCCTGCTTTTGGTATGGCTCCAGCCAATTCTAAAAACGAACCCCACTCGCGGATCCAGCGATTGCCAACATGTTTTTATCCATTCAAACCTATGGAAATGTATCGATTCTTGGAGGGGCCAGCTGCTCCGACAAGAATCGATTTTTTAACATAAGTTTAGATGGAGGCAATCCGATGTTGCCAAGTTGCTGGATCCGCCGCTGACGAACACACCGCTTGTTTCCCCCGCAACTTGGTTCCTCTGCGGGGGAACTGGAAAAACTGTGCGCCTGGGCGAATGAATTCCTAGGGTTGGAAACTTTTTCACGGCGATCAACAAGTGTATCCTGCATCATTTTTATTATCCAGGATCCTCCTCGCTTCGGATTGTCTCTCTCCTTCCCCTCTCCCCTTCTCTCTCCTCTCGCATCGCGCATCGTGCATCTAGAGTCCCTTTATACTGAGAGTCAAGACAATTCGGCTCATGGATGTCACAAACGGGAATAAAGATTACAGAAATTGAACGTTTTTCGTAATCTTTGATCGGCCCATTCTCAAATGCCTTTCTCCGTTCCTCCTCTCATTCCGTTTGTTCCTTGCCGAACCCGTAATTCCCTGGTCCATTCTAGACTATAATCTTTGCAATTGGTAAAAATGTAATCTTTATTCCCGTTTGTGACACTGTGGAGGCCTAAAATACGGGAACCAATCAGAAATGGATTCAAATTGTCTTGACTCTCAGTATAAAGGGACTCTACGTGCATCGGGCGCGTTAGTCACGCTCCGACGACTCGAGTGCAAAACTTCAACAGCTACTTAATTTCGGATAAATAGACATCACCCCCCTCCCCTTTGCCCCTCTATCTTGGCCCATGATTTATTGTTATTCATGCCCCGGCCTCACTTCTCAACTTTATCGGCCCCGAATGCCAGGCTCCTTCGATTCTCCTAGAGTCCCTTTATACTGAGAGTCAAGACAATTTGAATCCATTTCTGATTGGTTCCCGTATTTTAGGCCTCCACAGTGTCACAAACGGGAATAAAGATTACATTTTCACCAATTGCAAAGATTATAATCTGGAATGGACCAGGGAATTACGGGTTCGGCAAGGAACAAACGGAATGAGAGGAGGAACGGAGAAAGGCATTTGAGAATGGGCCGATCAAAGATTACGAAAAACGTTCAATTTCTGTAATCTTTATTCCCGTTTGTGACATCCATGAGCCGACTTGTCTTGACTCTCAGTATAAAGGGACTCTGGATTCTCCCCGAGACTTACCCTCCCATGCTAAGGAGAATCCTCCTGTACTTAGGAAGAACACTGTATGAACCTCACTGGAAAAAACACATTGGATCTAGAGTCCAGACTCTTGAAAACATTCACAAGAAAAAATACTCTCGATTCAATCGGAATTTTGCTTGAATCAAAACGAAATAAGCTTAAATTAAGAGGCTTGGTTCTTGATTTAAGCTTAAATCTGATTGAATCAAGAGTATTTTTTCTTGTCGATGTTTTTAAGAGTCTGCACTCTAGATCCAATGTGTTTTTTTTCTAGTGTATTTGATGCATATAGAGGCATTTAACATTGTAACATTTATCATTCGTAACACCAATAATCGAAATTTCTCATCGTTTTGCATCCAACGTATGCAGCGCAAGCAGCACTTAAAGTGAACACATCAAAACTTTACTCTTGGAAGGTTGCGGTCGGACCAACATAAAACGCCTTCAAATGCGTGTGATACTGTGCAACACAACCAAGTTGATATCGTTGTATTCTTAGGTTCGAACCTAACTCAAGTGAATCGCTCTACTAAATAAGGCATGTCATGAATTTCTCTGTTTCAAGTTACCTCGCATATTTTATGCCTTTTATTCTTTTATTTAAGTGTTAGATACAATGTGTTTTTTTTCCAGTGTACTTTCAAAATATGTCTTTTTGAAGCTGACTTTGGCCTGTGGCTCGTCAGTTGCACTAACTAGACCGTTTTTTTTTAGTGCTTCAGGCGTAGCCAAATTTCATTTGATAAAGCGCGAATTTCCTGGTAAATTTATGAATATTTTCCTCCCAGTTTTTCATATATTTTAGTTCGCAATTTTACCGAAAGATTCTGAAAATATAAAGGAAAAACATTCAAAACATTCCTAAAAAATAAACATTTTATCGAAGGAAATTTGGCTACTCTCGCATGTTCATACGGTTCTCTTCCTTTAGTACGGCAGCATCTACAGTTCGATCCACGAGTGTTTGCGCTCTACTTTGCGATGAGGAACGACTACACAGTCAGAGAAGATAACGAATATTTTGTGTCGTGTTAATATGGGAAGTAGAACACAAAGTAATCCAACACTGGAAAAAAAAACACA